AATATTCTAATTTCTAATATATTCATAATATTATAAATTCTTGAAGTGTTCCCACTGTGAGCTTAATTTATGTAGCTACGATAAAAGACTGCCCCCTTGTGGTGCACTGAAAGAAAATAAGGGCAATGATGCAAAACAAAACCAAAATTGCCTAAAAAATGAGAACCAGCCTGTTACCTGCCAAGGAATTGATGGCATCAGGCCCGGCTGGAGAACCACAATTACCAGATGCCAATAACACTGGGTATTTTCACTCGACAATATCCACAATAGCAGATGGGTGGGTGTTTTAGTTTGAAAATATTTTCTGTTGGCTTCATCTTCACTGCAATTTTGTATACATATCTAAAAGTTCCAAATTAAATACATACTATTCATTTCTACAAAACTGTCACCCTCATTGGTATCAGTCAAACAAATAATAAGAGACATTCAGGCAAAAGTGGAATCTAGAGAAAGATGGGATCAGAGGATCCAGTGATATATTAAGGCCAGAAGCCCCTGTGGTGATGTGGCTTGAGAGCTTACCCAACAGGGGTGCTTCATACCTAATGGCAATGGAACTACATGTTTGGATCTTCTCGGGGAATTTAAAGGACATTTGAAAGAGAGCCAGCGTCCCTATTCAGTAAATGGTGCTGGGAGAACTGGATAACCACATGTAAAAGGCTGAAACTGGACCTGCACCTTTCACCACTCACTAAAATCTACTCAAGATGGATAAAAGATCTAAATCCAAGACACGAAACAGTAAAAATCCTTGAAGAAAGTGAGAGAAAAACACTTGAAGGTATTGGCTTGGGAAAACACTTTATGAAGAAGCCTTCAGTGGCAATTGCAACAGCAGCAAAAATAAACAAATGAGACTTAATTAAACTGAATAGCTTCCGTACAGCTAAGGAGACGACAACTAAAGCAAATAGTCATCAGAAGGAGAAAGGATGTTTGCATATTATGAATTAGATAAAAGATTGGTAACTAGGATCTACAGAGAACTCAAATTAAGCAACATAAAAAGAGCTGACAATCCTCCTCCCCTTTTTTTGAGACAGAGTCTCAAGCTGTCGCCCTCAGTAGAGTGCCATGGCATCACAGCTCACAGCCACCTCAAACTCTCAGGTTCAAGTGATTCTCTTGCCTCAGCCTCCCAAGTAGCTGGGACTA